CAAATTCAAGGACTTTTCAAGGACTGTGCGAACCATGATTTAATGACATTAAAGTTGGGAACACTCCTACTAGAGTATCACCCTATCTGCAGATACCGACACCACTCCCCGAGTAGCGGACTGTGTCTACCTACACTCACGCTTACTTCGTGGTGGCTACGCCTTCGCAACGTACGGAGTTAACCGGATTATCTTCTGGAGTTGAGGGTCAGGCCATAATAAAAATATTGTTTGTTTGTCCTCACCCGACCGACCCGCCAAAAAGGGGCCGACTCACAAAATTTTATTGATTTTTTTTTTTAAAAACAAATTGTATCACTGTAACAATATACTACATTATATAAATCTTGTAGAATACATTATATCACGGAGCGTATAATGACAAATACGCTTGACAAATACGCATAATGACAACATACGCAAATATTTGTCATTATACGCTCCTGATTATATGCTACCAAGCCAAAAGAAACATTCAAAATAAAAGACAATCTCCATGCCACACAAGCACACCCAAGCATGTAACACCACGCTGAAATTGTAAAAAAAGCCTACCTACCTACCCAAACTTTTCAGCGTGGGTCGGGTGAGGGCAAACAAAATGTTTTTAATTGTGGCCTTAGGTAACGCAGAAATTTATAATATCAATTAAAAATCCCTCATCATTAATATTAAGCAGGCAGGTGTCAGGCGCGCAGCGAGCATATGTTCTCTTCATGATCAGACGGAAGCTGGTTTTAACAGGTGGCTCTTCTCTCTCCTCTCTCTCTCTCTATCCCTCTCTCTCTCTCGCATTCTCTCTAGACCTCTCTCTCTTTCTATCTCCTCTCTCTCTCGCATTCTCTCTAGACTCTCTCTCTCTCGCGCATTCTCTCTCTCTCTCTCTCTCCTCTCTCTCGCATTCTCTCTCTCTCTCTCTCGCATTCTCTTCTCTCTCTCTCTCTCTCCTCTCTCTCTCTCTCTCTCTTCTCTCTCTCTCTCTCTCTCTCTCTCTCTCTCTCTCTCTCTCGTCTCTCTCTCTCTCTCTCTCTCTCTCTCTCTCGCTCTCTCTCGATTCGTCATTGTTCTCTCTCTCTCCCCTCTCTCTCTCTCTCTCACGCCCTTGCTCTCTTTTTCTCTCCCCCTCTCTCTCTCTCTCTCTATCGAAGGAATCCCTACCGGCTACGACGATTTTCATTAAAATAATATTCTCACTAACGTGGACATCATACAGGAAGACAGACAGGAAGCTTCCACAAACGCAATCCTTCCATCTCACTAGGATGAGGAGGTCGGGAGCGGTCTCGATAAAAATCGAAGAACTTGTGTACGCGAATAGAAAATGACGAGCCACGCTGGCGAGTTGGGTTGGGTATAGGAATCCACGAACAACTTCCTATATCGAATCGAATCTTAATCGAAAAGGATGATAGATATGGAATAATAAAGACGATGGATAAGAAGGTGGAGATAGATATACACACGAAGAGATAGGAACACGCGCGCCTGCATTGCAACAGTACGTTCGAATCTATCTGTGTGACATATCACGCGACCTGCATGGGCGCCCCGTGTACCACCGCTTATATACACCGCGTACATTATATACAATTTACTGAGCGTGCGCGTGGGCGTTATTAGATATATCTTATTATATTCCATAAGTTCTTGTTCAATTTTAATAGAGATTCAACATTAACTTAATTTTAACTTCCAAACTTCGTAATTTCTTACAAGAGACGTGTTTATAATATTAAAACTGACGTGATTTTGAGAAATACGTGAATCTACGATAGAAATCTAGTCAAAAGCAGCGATCGACCCACAAACAAATCTGGTTTAATACGGGGAGGGTGGAGGGGTGGGGTTAGGGTGGAGCTATTGCCCATTCTCCCCAGGCATCTTCATCGTCTATCTGAATCTGTGTGACATATCACGCGACCAGGGTGCCCCCGTGTAGCGCCGCTTATACAGCGTACATTACCGCGCGTGCGTGCGCGTCGGCGTTATAATATTTAGGGGTGAACTTTACAGACGCAAGTATCTGACGCAAGTATGGATCACGCAAGATTGGACGCAAGTATGTAGACGCAAGTATTTCTTTTACAGACGCAAGTATGGATCAACAACTGGCTTGGTCAGAGGGCGCTCTCTTTTTCTTTGTCTTTCTTTCTTTCTTTCTNAAAATAATACATACTAAAGAGTAAAAAGAAAAAGGAAAAAAGGGGAAAATAAGTTCCCCAGCTGGGACTCGAACACTGAATCCAGGTGTAGCAGACGTGCTGATTCTGAAAATATCTTTAGTTTTCCTCTAGGCTGCGGAGTTCTCTAGTTATGAGCGAACACACTAATTCGGCTGAACAACTTTATATATATAGAAGATAGTGCTTGCCCTTCGCTCACTGCTCCCCAAAGCGCGCTCGCGTGTTCGGTTTGCGCGCAATTTCCAACGTCGAATTTCTGCGGTTAACAAATAACGAGGAGACTTCTATATGTGTGCGCGTTGTGAACTTTCTTCGAGAAGGTTACACGCGATGACCCTGGCAGTAAAAAGGATCGCGCTTTACGATTAGCTTCCAACGTATAAAGGGCGGCGGGGTGCACGTATATGCAATATCTCAGTATAAAAGGTAAAAGCCGAGCCGGGTGACATTTTCATCGGCGGTCTTCCACTCAACACACCTAATGCGGTGCAACACTCGCTAACGCACACAGCCAATACTATAGTATTAGTCTCAATGTGACAATGCTATAGTCTTAAGGTGACAATGCCTAGTCTCAAGGTGACAATGCTATAGGCTCAATGTGATGTGACAATCACTCTAACTGCGTTACACTGCCGTAACGAAAGCGGACACAGGATTTTTTACCTTCTTCGCCCGCAAAAGAGGTCTGCCTAACCTTTGCCTGCCGTCTCTTGTGTACAGAATACAGGGAGCGTAGGTTAAGCTGCTTAAATTTGTACGGCAATCGACCAAATCCTGTTGACGCAGGTCTTCATTCACGCGGTAAAAAACGGGAAATTTCTCTCTTCCACCTCTGGCATTTTGCTATGAATTTCCGCGTTCAAATTCGGGGAAGGGGGGGTCTGCGCGGGCGGCACGTATAAGCAATATATCAGTAAAAGGTAGAGCCGAGCGGTCCGCCATTTCCATCGGCGGTCTAACGCCCAACACACCTAACGCGCACAGCCGATGCTATATAGGCTCAAGATGACAATCACTCTAACCGCGTTACACTGTCGTAAAAAAAGCGGACACCGGATTTTTTTTACCTTCTTCGCTCGTGAAACTGCACTTGTGCGTTTTTACACCGAACGGGAGATTATCACGGATTAGGAGAGAAGCTGTCGGATGTCTCCCAAGAGTCTCTCCCCCTCTCCCCCTCTCCCCCCTACACGTACACGTACGTCCGCTGTACCCGTACCGATTTGTCGTGTGGGGAAAAGCCTTGCACTGATCGCCACGTACATGTATTTCGCGTGCTCGTGAGGCGGATTAGGAGGGTCGATGTTGACAACTAAATTGTTGATAACCGTTCTCTCATCCTCACGCGCAATAACGATAACGGGACATCATTTTTATTGCATGACACAAAAGCGACAGGCAATTGCGCGCGCGACCACAGCGCGACGCGACGTGACGTCGTCAATGGCAACGGTGCGTCTAGCGAGGTCGGATGCAACGAATCGACGTCGCTCTATGCCTGCACCGTGCGTAAGCTTCCACCGCTGACCCGTTACCCGCATTTCTCACGATAAGAATTATTTTATTTTACGACGAATACCGGGTACATTGACGTGCGTTAGCGACAAGACCAGGCGCACACTTCCCTAGGCTTCACAAAGACAACTATGGATCCGTCGCTGTCGTCACACCGCTGCCGACCGAGGGTCAATAATCGACGGAATCGACTCACGAAATAAAATCACTCTCACGCTGAATACTGCTGCAAACATGCGAAGCATCTAAACACAGCAGCGTGAGTGTCGGAGCATTGACTACTTACTATACACGAGAGTAGATTCAGCGCACCTTTCCGTACATGCACGCACAGACAACCACGAATAGAATTCGGGAGAGAGAGAGAAGCGTGAGAGCGGCTCTGAGTCTGAAACCGAACGTAGGCACAGCAGACGTTTGTCGGGTAAACACACAACGAAAACAATCGCGTCGCCTTTGTTTTTGTTTTCGCTTCCCAAATTCCTTCCCAATTTTCCTACGAAAACACGTGTGTTTTTTTTCTATTTGTCTTCGTCGGGCGTACCATTTTTTCTATCGTTTTTTTTATCGTCGTCTGGCGCGACAGCGTCACGCGAGTTAAAATAAACATTAAATACCTGTAAATATTAAAGCCATAAAGCCCTGTCGCCGATATAGCTCTGTTGACACAGGTATGTGGCTGTCGCCTTGTGTGAACAAGGGCTAGGGTACTAGAGCTATCGCTGACAGTGCTATATTATATAGAAAGATGTGGCGTGGTACACATCCCCTCGATGGCAAACTTCCCTTCCCCGCCTCTACGCATGGGAAATAAAGGTAAAACCTGCGTCGTAGTTCTACCGGTGTCCTTCTGGACATGCTTATGCCCATGCGGGGATGTGTATGGCATGCTAAACGGTTAACCTGCATCCTCGCTCGCTCTGTCGGAATACAGAGGGAAGAGGGAGCGTGCACATATATACATACCCGTCGATCTCGCTTCTATAATCGCATACACGGTAGAGTTCAAAATTAGGCGTAAAATTGTGCTAAACGTGACTTTATTTTTGAAAATAACGACCTCAAAACACGCTCGCGCGCAAAATTTACCGACCGGTCATTTTTTTCCACTGTAGGTCCACGATTTTCTGCTTCTCAAGCGGACGACGGTGTCATAGAAGTACGGAAGGGTTTGTTTAGGTATTACTCGTGCGGAAATTTTCACCTCCTCTGGTTGAATTTATACGTAATACGTAATTTTCTAGCGCGTTACATAAAAGGTAATTCATGATCATCCCTAGTAATTAGTAACTCGCTCACCTGGTCGGCTACGGACATGACGTGCATGTTTCTCGTCGTGTTCAGGTGCAACACCGTGTACTTGTTCGCGGTGCACAGGTCGTAGGCGACGCCCATGAACGACGTGCTGCCCGTCTTTGGCACTCTGTTGTAGACGATGACAAGGTCGTCGGTGGCAGCAGACGCCAGCGACGTTGCCCTGGCAACCTGCGAGCGATGCTGCATGTCAATGGTGCTCAGCTGCACTTTCGCGAGGGCTTCCTCTGTAATTAAAAAACAATAGTTTCGAATAAATATCGTTAATTATTAAAGTTTAATTATTAATAATCGTTTATTTATTTTTTTATTTTTTTATTTAATTGTGTACTGCGTGGCCGCCGTCGCAAAAACGTGTGATTACGCAGACGTATCCTATAAACGATGCACTGTGTATAGATTAGATGTTATTTAAATATATTCATTTAGCATAATCACGCTCGGTAATTTCTTGTTAAACTTTTATAGAGATTCAACGTTAACTTAATTTTAACTTCTAAACTTGTAATTTCTTAGGAGTTTTTTATATTAAAACCGACGTAATTTTCAGAAGTATGGGAATCTACGATAAAAAAAAATCTAGTCCAAAGCAGCGAGCTATTCACAAACAAATCTGTTATAATACGAGTGGGGGGGATTGGAGGGCGGGGTTGGGGTGGAGCTATTGCCCATGATCCCCGTGCAGATGTGCATGTTTGGCGACTACGTACTCACTTATTTCATAAAATAACATCGGGTGGGGGGCAGCTTGACCGCTGGCGACCGCCAAATGACATTCACACTAACATCGACATGCAAACAGGAAGTTTCGGCAAATTCAATCTTTCCATTTCGCTCCGCCGACGAGACGCGGTCTTGATGAAAATCGAAGGAAATGTGCAAATCGAAAAAGACGAGCTACGCGCGCGAGTTGAATAGGAATGCACTGCTTCTAGGAAGCCTACTGCAGTACGCGTGTAGATGGCGGCAGATACGAGTTTTTTTCCCCTGCCTCCTTCGCAAGATAAGTATCACTGAAGCACATCATCGAACATTGCTAGTTACAAAATGCGATATAGACGAATGCTAAATTCTGGACAATCGGCAATTTTCTGAAATGGCTCTGCGTTATCGAATTGTAATTTCTAGGATTCTAGGTAGATTCTAGGGTCTTACGTTGTTGAGCTTAAGTTGAGAAATGCAGTCTCTATACCATTATATATCATTAGGACTACACACACGAACGTCCGCACGCACGCACGCACGCACGCACGCACGCACCAACGGACCAACCAACCAACCAACCAACCAACCAACCAACCAATCAAGCAACCAACCAACCAAACAACTAACCAACCAACCACCTCACCCAACACGTTAACGCCAACCGAAAGGAAATATACCCTTTTAAATCGGGGTGTCGAACCGAAGTCAACTCGTGAGCAGATGCACGCTTATTACCACGCGCGCGTGCACGCTGCGTGCAATCACGCTTGCATCACGCACGCTGCGTGCAATCATGCTTGTATCACGCACGTACGCGCGTTTGC